TCTCTGAACACATTGATGCTGGAGTGTGTCATTGTGTTTTTTCCCCACCCTCGGGTACACAGAGAGAGTTCTATTCCATCTGAGTGCAGATTACTCTTGGCTTTTCTTCTGTGTTTATTTATTCAATGTCTGCCCCTAAATAATTCTCATACACATGCCGCAGATAATTCACAGATTTCCAATAAGCTCTGCTCAGATGTTTCATTTTGATTTGCCCCTGATAATAATAACAATAGTCACAGGGGTTTGGATCCAATCTGGGCTCAAACGTATTCACAGATGCAGAGGGCATCACGCTCCGTCTCTGTGTCTATTTTTACACGTGTGTTTGAGGAGCTGAGGCAGAGCGTCAGCGTCACTGTGACTCAGATGGCTCACGAGACGCCTCGCTGCCGAAGCTGGGAGACGAATCACAACCAGCGCTACGCATCAGCTGACGCCCAGAAAAGCAAAGAGGGGGGAGTGGCCGGGGCACTTGTGAAGTTTGTCTCTCAGAGTGAGGATAACACTGAATGTTTCAGGATTAAAGTCTGAGAACGTAATGGAGACATCAGTTATTTGATTTTTAGAGATGTTTTGCTTCTCCTCCAGTGATTTGTCAGGAACCGAAAAGTTCAGTTTCAATTTAGGATGTTAGAATTACTTGCATCTGTTCAGGTAAATAAATCTTTGGTGTGAAAATTTTAAAAATATTAAATAAATAGAATGATCACCTATGCAGCTACTGTATACTGCAGAGTATTTAAAGAAGTGGTGGCCAGATACCAATACCAGTATCGGGATATAAACTAGCATTTTTACAAATACTTATACAAAATGCTCTGATACTTAGAAACAATACTAATACCAGTATAAAAACTGGTATCAACAGTCCAACGAATGTGTTACATTTTACATTTCAAGAGAAAGGTTTGTCAATTCCATGTTCAAAAATTTGAAAGAAAATCTTACTTTATTTATATAAAGATGTATTAACAGTATATATTTATATAACGTGGTATATTAGATTTTATCCAGTCAGAGGGGCTGTAGGTCTGTAAGGAAGGAGAGACGCCTTGTTTTAAATAAAATAAATGTTTGTAAAGTCATTGTGTAATGTTTGAGTTCTAACTCAGTACTTCATATTGGTGCTAAAGTACATACTTGTACTAGGTTTGAGAAAAACCAATACCTGGAGCACCCTTCTGTGAAGAAATTTAGAGTTAGGGAGGTTAGTACTGATGTTAGAAGCACAACACTAAATTCTTAAGTTCTCCTTTTTGAAATATTGACAGTGTTTAATCTATTATGTCTTGATTGAAATAGGTGTAGTTACATGTCTGAAACATCTTTTACAACACATAATAAAACACTTGAATGACATTAGATGAGAATTGTGTCTGAATACCTGTGACTCAGCCGTAGGTCAGCAGGGGGCGAGCGAAGGCATTGAAGAAACTGTATAAATACATGAGCTTCCGGTTTTATAGGCAGTGTGGGTTTCCTGTCTGCATCAGCAACAATAAACCTCACTCAGATTCCAGACTGGTGTTGTATGGTTTCCATTCGTTCTACAAATCCCATTATTTAACATTTGTGTTTATCATCTCGACTTCAGTTTATTGAATACAAATTTTCTTACACTTCATTTAAAGGCATTTTTTACAAACAGATAAACAGTAAACAGGTGTGAAACTTGCTTTGCAACAAATGGCTGTGCAATCGGCTCCCATGTTTCATATTTTATTAATAAACCATGTGAGTTTGACTCTTTAAATATAAAACCGTTTTTAAGACAATTCAGCTAAAGGGTACATACCATGTAAAATCCATTTTTTAGCCATGAAAACTCATTCAGTCTGTAGTTGGAGTCTCTAGGGATGCAGAAAAGTTGAATTAAGTTTCTCTTGGTGCGGTGTAGATATCTTTATATTCTATTTAGGTCAAATCTTTCAACCTGCTCAGTTTTTTATCATGTCTTCTGCCCTATAATATCACAATATTTGCTGTGAAACTGCTAAACAAGGTCATGGAATTCTGGCTAAACGATTTCACAAATCCGCGTTTCTGCAGGTTTGTCGTCTTCCTCTGGCTTTGGGTCAGGCTGCAACATGTAAGGCTGGATGAACAAGTCTTCCATTGTTGACATCTATTAATTAATTTGTAAATAAAACATTTCTGCACCACTAGATAATCGTACCTCTGCTATCGAACTACAGAAACGGCCCAGTGGGCTGGAGTGGACAACGATCATTAGGAGTTACGTTGTGTTCAGCTGCAACAGAACTCAAAATTGTAAAGTTGGACTGACATCAGTTGCGAGTTGAAAATATTCCAGTTTCCAGCTTGTCAGAAGTAACTGAAAAATGCAACAATATCACAACAATAGCTCTCTTTGCAGCATTTTGATGTACAAACARCGTTAAAACATATCGCCTAATAATCACCATAAAATACAAGTACAACTGACTTAATGTTAACTAAACCACACAAGCCTGAAAAAGGATTTAAAAGCACGATAAACCCAACAAACAAACAAAATTCCAATTAGTTTATTATTGAAGAAAATTTATGCAGATAACTTATTTTTTGATCGGCTAAAACCAGCATCCTAAAATTGTGCCAGTTTTGCAAGATGTTTTATTTTTATTTACAAAGTAATTTTTAAAAAACCTATCGAGTAAGTCATGGAGGTAAAGACTAACTTCTCATACTTCCTGAAAGAGTCAGTGTCTGTAAGTAAGATGGGAGCAGTCTAAGAATAGCAGACCTGAAATAAGCCAGACATTTCCCTCAGGAGGTGGTGAAGAGCAGAAACAAAGCCATTAACTTTAGATTTTTTTTCTGCACATTTTTTATCCCGTGGATCTGTGGGAGAAAAATATTTATGACTGCAGGGTTGTGATACACTAGTTTGATTAAGGTTTTTTTCTCCCCCTTTACTGATACATTCTAACTCACTTCAGGCTCTGCTATTCAGAGGTTTCAATTAGCCTGAACGATGGCGTCAAAATCAATCATCGGCGTGTCAGCTTTGTGTGCTTGCACACTGTTACCTCCTCTGAGACACTTCAGCTGCTCAGGAACTGTTTTGTAGTATTGACTTTTAGCAGCCATGAATACCTCTGTCTTTCTGTCTATTTTCTCCCTTTCCTTCCCTTTTCTTGCATCCTTTGTAACCCTCCCATCCTGTTGTTTGTTGGGTTACAGAGGATGTCTGGTGTGGCAGATGATTCTTGGAACATTCAACCAGCCTAACATGAAAAGGAATCAAATAACACGCACCTCCTTAAAAGAAAGTATGCCCTCAATCCTTTTTTTTTTCCTATTTGGTTTAATTTTTTAAGTTTTATGCTCCCAAAATTCATTGTAGGTTAAACAGACTTGGGGGAGTTTTGTACATGCTTTATTTATTTATCACTCATTTGTCCCTTGAGAGCCCAACTGCCAACACAGCATTGATCCATCCAGTGTTAGTTCTACTTTCCTCCTCCTCATCTCATTTTGCCAGCTTCTTGCCCTCTGCTTAACCACGATCTTCTCCTCCACTGATCATCCTCCTTATCACTTCCTCTTGTTCCTTATCTCCGCATCCCTCTCTCCTCTCTGCAGATTTAAGCTGCCTTGTGCACACGGCCAGGAGAGAGTGGGCTGTCCACTCAGAGCCGTAGATAAAGATCAGACTGTGGGCCCAGTTTAACCCCAGTTGAACCAAAAACTGGAACGGCTCTCATAATACAACCAGTTTAGCTTGTAAGAGTGATCGGATCTGAAGTCTGATCCATCTACAATCACTCCTCTTTTCTACTGGGTTTCTGTGCACAGTTGCTGTTTTAGCTGCAGATGTAGTCGAGGCAGCTCAGCCTCAGGAGTTTTAATTGGTTGGGTTGATTCTGTTTGAGACAGAAAATTCAATGTAACCTTTGCTTATATGACACCGTAATTGAACCGCCTCTAGGCTTGGTTCACTGTAATTAGCCAAATGGTGTTTTTATCCCATGCTACATCTGAATCTGAGGCTTATGCTCTGCGAACCAGAGGAGTTACTCTCTGTGCTCCGCAATAATACTGTATGTAGTTATTAGATTAGTTACATTACCTGGTTGTGCTCTTATAAAAGAAACCATATTAGATTTGCGGTTGTGGCTTAATAACCCTCAGAGCTCCTTCTGTTTTCTTCTTCTTCTCCTAATCATCACCAAAACACATTGTTTACAAGACAAGACTGGAAATGGTCTTTTTGTTGATCTCTTTAGAATAAAAGAGGTTATTAATGGAAAAATAAAATAAAAAATTTAGGGATGTCAGATAATATCGGCCCACAGATACTGTATTATCGTCTGATATTAACATAAAAATGTTAAATCTCGACATATTGGTATTGTTTTTTCTTCTGATAACAAAAGTTAGATAAATTAACACCTGGATTTGACCAAAATGTGTTAATAAATGCTTGTGGTCCAGGGACGTTCACTGGTGCTGGATTGATGACATCATCAAACTGGATTATCTCAGGGAGAGCATGATCCTAACTTGTTTGAGACAAAATGTTTTTAAAATATATGGCACTTTTCCCATAAATTCAGTGAAAGGGCTTTTATTTTGTACAGCCAATGTTTACCTATGGAATACATCCAGTGGGGTATCACAGTAAAAGCAGGTTTAATGTCCCTGACAGGAGACATGTGATGTCACCTTAATATCGGTTTGTAATATATCGGAATCAGAAATTACTGAATAAAAATATTGAATAAACGGCAAAAAAAATCAATATCGAGCAAAAAGTATGTTCCTTTTTCTTGATTCCACTGAGTTGATTGAACACTAACCTGATAAGATGTTTGGAGAAAAAAAATACCTGTAAGAAATGTTTTACGTTCAGAGTATGTTTCACTTTAGTTGTTTTTTATTGTTGTTGTTGTTGATTGTATGGAAAATCAGCTCACTTGCTTTTTTTCCCCAAAACAATATTATATTAAGCTACGATTCATTAAAAGAGTTCCTTAACTCCAGCCTTTCACTCCATTTGAGTACATGATTCTTGCTACCATCATCGCCAACTGTATCGTGTTGGCCCTGGAGCAGCACCTGCCGGGTGAAGACAAAACCCCCATGTCCAAGAGACTGGTGAGATGCTCGCACATGGAGGCAAAGCCCAAATGTCTGTATGAGCCGGATGTGATAATAAATAGTATCTTTCTCTGTTGTTTCCTGTGTACAGGAGAAGACGGAGCCCTACTTCATTGGGATGTTTTGTTTTGAGGCTGGGATAAAAATCATCGCCTTGGGTTTTGTGTTCCATAAAGGTTCCTACCTTCGGAATGGCTGGAACGTCATGGACTTTATTGTGGTCCTCAGTGGGTGAGTCTGGCAGTGTTTCGGTTGGATATTCACCTGTGAACTATTAGCATTTAGAATGGATAAAAACGATGATTCCTAGAGGAAGATATAAACACACACACACACACACACACACACACACACACACACACACACACACACACA